TACGATTCCTCCTACACGTGCGCTTACGTGTAAGCTAGGTAGTGAGCACTAGGCCCACTACACACTACAAGAGGTGTAGATACAATCTTCCTTTTCAGGATCTCAAAAGATTCCTTTGCTCGGGATAAGTCTCGTCCTGCACGCACTTGGTCATCGGTCAACTCATAGAGTGAAGCAGCTATCACGGCATACCTCAATGAATTTGTGGTATGACTGAACTCCTTTCAGGGTAGACGGAAACGGTAACTCCTGAATGCCTTTTATGATCTTCGGGGTGGCACGTATCCCTTTCGCACCAATCTCGTGAGAAAGGTATGGTATGACACGCTTCCCGAATTCAATTTTAGGCAAGCTAACTGAGATACCCCAATACCGCAACCGATAAAGCAGCGCATCTAGATCACCACATAATTGGTCCCACGTGGCCGCCCCATGCGCGATGTCATCAATATATGGACTACGCCCCAAGACTGGTCCCATTTGGGATGGCGCGGGAATGTTACGCCTGTAAACCGTCATTTGCTCCACGAGTGGTGTCATGCTGCGCCCTGCATCCATTTCATCACTCGGTGACTGAGACTTGGCGACTGAGAATTCAGCTTCAGGTAGTCTAACACATCCTGATCCACGAGCGCTTCTTCCTCGGGTGGTAACCGCACAAAACCCCACAGACAATTGTTGATCATCTGTTGGTACATTAATGGGGCGTTTTTCAACCCGAATGGCATACGTACCCATTGGAAATGCCCGAATGGACAGGTAAACGCCGAGATCAGCTTAGCTCTCTCGGTCATTCGGACCGCCCAGAAACCACTCGCCATATCAAGACTCATAAACCACATCATTCCTTCGAAACCAGTAATAAGATCATCGATCAGTGGTAGTGGGTAGTTCAACAATTGAATGAAGCTGTTCACGACTCGATAGTCGATGCACATTCGAATGTCCACTCCGTTCTTCTTGAGTACGATCACAATTGGGGATGCCCATGGCGATTCAGAGTGTTCAATCAGTGTAGCTTCCAGGAGCTTCTTCAGTAACTTGTACACCTTGATTGCGAAGTGTGGACCGACCGATCGGGGTCTTTGGGCAACTGGCCTGGCATCGCCCACATCTAAATCACAGATGACGCCCTTCGCCGGAGGCGGGGCAGCATTTCCGTCACCTAAAAAGATCTTCTGGTGTCTTTTCAGAATGACCTTCAGCTGCCTTTCTTGAGCTTCCGTGCTCTCGCCTGGTTCTCCAACGTCAGCAGCCTCGATGTCACATTCAGGAGAGAGATCGTCTAAGTCGGGGAGCATAACCAGCTGATCCTTCAACTGAGACATAAGTTCACTCCCTTCACGAATGTAAACCGCTGGTTCCAAATCGAGTTCTTCAGCGCTCACCCGCATACACCTGGCATACGCTGCATCAAGTCTTGCAAGCGGTGTTCCGGGTGCGGCAGAAGAAGGTAACTCGAAATCCTCATCTTCTATACTCGGGTCATCCTGGAATACGTCGCATTCAAATTTCTGAGCCATCTTCTCTGGGACTTCTACACAGGATCCCGAATTGGCAACCTCTCCGCCATCCTGGATGTCGGCATCAAGGATGACAGATTCAGGCGGAACTTCGACAGCCATGAGTGAGCCAGTCACGCTCGGGGAGTATACCCCAGGTGTAGCATCCTCAGCTGACTCCACACCCTCGGTGTCTCTCTGTGGTTGTAACTCTTCCACAATCTTCGTAACCTGGGCTCGCT